AGTCCCAAAAGTTTTTTTGTTTGGGATTAAAACCAAAAATTTGAGAAAATAATTCCCCCCCCCCCCCCCAAAAAAAAAAAAAAAAAAAATTCAATTTGCACAAATTTTTGAATTATTTCCAAATGCTGTCAGGGAACCCAAATATTACTTTGTGCTACATTTGTCATTTGATTACGGACTTTGATTCTTCCTTTTCACACAGCCTTTTCCTTAGTCAGCTTCAGTCTTACATGCAGCCTGCTAAGATTGAAAATGAAGTTCCCTTGAAAACAGCGACAGCCCCTTTACTGTTGCACGATGTCTTAGAATGACTACCCTGCAGCTCCTAACAGGCCATGTCTCGGATCCCCATGAGATGCTCCTGCTGCTTTTTTTAATTTGCTCTGCTTGACTGCATGCGCTGCCTGTCAGTTGGAGAATGAAACTGATTCTGTCTGTCTCCTTCTTTTCATTCTTTTCCATTTCTTCGAAGGTTATCCATGTGGATGCTGGTGTCTCCCTCCCCTTTCCCCCCCGATCCATGTGCAAAATTCTAAATTTTGCTATTCCTGTCAAGAACAGTGATTGATTTCTTTAATACTGTATGATCCTATTATAGATAACCAATACTGACTTCATTTTGTCCCTCTCTTTCTCTGTTGCAGCATTCTTTTTGCAGATATAGTTGGTTTCACCAGCCTGGCCTCTCAGTGCACAGCTCAGGAACTGGTTAAGCTGCTAAATGAGCTGTTTGGAAAGTTTGATGAGCTTGCCACGGTGAGTCTGCCTTCCTTCCTTGCAGCCATATTCCCTCAATTATAGTCACTGTTGGCATTCAAGGCAACACTCACTGTGCAAAGAGTGCTTTGTCCAAACTCTGACACAGCAATGACTGTATGTGTGTGTGTGCGTGCATGTATGTGAGCTCGTGGCTCTCTTTAGCCACAGGCTATTGGCACACTCCTGTAGCTTAGCATGATGTCACAGTGAATATTGGAAGCCCATATGATGCCTAATATGATTATCCAGTGCTTCATTTGAGGAAGAGTTGACAGACCTCTTTAATCTCAGCCAGATTTACCCATGGCTAAAGCTTGCCTCCTCTCTTGTGTGAATGAACTGAATAGAGCGGATAGCAGGGGAGATGAGTTATACTCATCTCTAGTTGCTCTTGTTATGGATGAGGAAAAGATTTCAGCAGTCCAATCTGTTAATATTTCACTTTGTGGGTTATGGGTCAGGGTTGACAACTCATCTGACCATTTTTTTAAGCAAAAAACTTGTACTGCTCTTATTAATTTGTTTTCCACTGTAGCCTGTTTAATAGAATAGCACAGAGGTTTTCATAATTAGATTTTTTTTTTTTTTTTTAGATGTGGATTGGGCTGAGACAGCATCCATGTGATTCCATAACCTGCAGTTCACATGGCTTTGTCAAATCCATTAATCTGGAGGATTGCAGCAAACCTCTTTTTTTTTTTTTTTTTTGCTTTTACAGAAGGGTTTTCTTTGGCCCTGTCGGGAACTTCTATTTTTGACTTGCTTGTTTGTAGGTTCAAATTTAGGACTAGCTAAAAAAAAGACAGGAGTTTTGTTGTCAGTTATTGCTGTCATTATTTTTGTAATAAATTGTGAATAAGTTGTTTCAGGGTTGTAGCTATTTGCTGTTTCTTTTGGGTCCTTAAAAACAAATTGATTTACCTCTATTTTGGTTTCTTCCTGCTGCAGTTTTTTTTTTTTTAGCTTTAGTGTCAGTTTTTTACGCTTTCATTAAAAAAAAAAAAAAAAAAAACTAAAACAAGGCAGTTGCATCTTTAGATTTCTAAGCTGTTTTGATACAACTAGTTGCACAGTTGAATAGATGGCTGCATCCAGGACTTGGCAGCTAGCTTATAGCGTTATAGTGTCCTGAAAGACTTGTCCCCAGCTATTAAACTTGCCCTGACCCAAAGCCACAGTCATTCTTATCCACTTTGGCAGGAAGTGGCAATGCCAGTGACTCATAGCCGTGGTCACTTTGGGCACGCAAACTCTCTTTCGTCCCATACGAAGAGCGGGCGATGCCACATGGCCACTGGGCATCATCTCATGGTACGATTCCAGCACCATCCCCACACCACCTGTCCACTCTTTGGACTTGTCAAGCTGCATGGGAAGCGGGCCAGGAACACAGTGTTCTCCTGTAGTGCTGGTGATGTAGCAGACCAAGTCTGCTCTTCTCCTCTCTCTCTCTCTAAATTTTTTAACATGAATGAATCTAAGCTAGGCATTATCTGAATTCTTGCCCTGAGTCCAACCTCAGCATCACTCCCCCTGTAAACAACGACGGACAGTAAATTTATTACTTTTTTTTTTTTTTTTCCCCAAAATTGACACAACCTCTACATCAAAGCTTGCTAAATATTTTTTTGTGATTCAGAAAGACTTAACACAAATCATCCACCTTTTTTTTTTTTTTTATCTTCCTGGCACAGGGAGAAAATACAAACCTTGTTGCCTTAACAAATAATTATATTTCCTTCCAAACTCACACCACATGTTAGAAAAGTGACACACAAAGCTTCATTAGCCTGCATTTAGACACGTTTTCCTGCCACCAGAGTGAACAGGTTCATTACTGACACCTCTTCAGGCTCTGATGTTGTCTCTGCCAGCTCTTAACTAATTAGGACTGAATGCACCACGCGTAAATTTCTCTTTCAATCCAAGTGTGCCATTTCCATGTTTCTCACTTGTTTTAAGAAGCTTTTCGGTGCCAAAGTGCTTGTGAGTTTCAAAGTGGGATTTGACTGCCCCTTTCTAACAAGTAAATATGCTTTGATCTAAATCTCTGCCGCGATCTCAAGTGTTTCGCAGCCTCTAACAGTTATTCTTCTAGGATTGCCATGTCACCTATATTCCTATCCACTCTGACTAGTTTCCCCTGTCACAGTTAATGACAAGTAGCCCCCACAGCGTCACCGTCACCTCCATGTTTACATTAGATGTTCAGTTTTAGTTGTCTGCCCGACATTGCATATTACATGTTGGCCAGAAAGTCTAATCTAATCAAATAATCTTCTTCCTCTATTGTTGAGTTTCCAACATGGCTTGTGATGCTGAGACACCTCTTATAACTTCCTTTCTTTTGTGGGTTTGGATTTTGCTACTTGACAAATTTATGGAGTGCATAACAAATAGTTTAAAAACAGATCCTCGCTCCTGAGCTTTGTATCTCTACAGCTCCCTGAAAGTCACCATGGCCTTCATACATGCTTCTCTAATCATGTTTCTCCTTACCTGACTCGTCGCCTTATTTTGGTTGAGATTAGTCGTTTTGCACCATATTTTTGGTTGATGGATTGACTATTGCTCTGTGCCTGCACAACTGTTTTTAAAACGTAATGCTTTAAGCTCACCCACAACTTTTGTCCTGACCTTTCTTGTACAATGCTATTTAGTTTCCTTAACAGGCCCTCTCAAAGGGATGTTCTGTGTTTGGTAGTGACCCAGTTTAAATGAGAAGATGCTCATTGGTACAGATACAGTGCGGACTCTGTTCATTGATATGCAACGTACTCTTTAATGCCTGGTTACCACATTTCTATAAAGAAAAGCTCGTCTAAGTGTGGCAGTGCAGATGTTTGCACCAGAGCTCTTATACTATTTTGTGCTCTTGTTGCTACTCAGCAAAACCTGTTGTTACTTTGATCTCCTCACACTTGACTTTGCGTCCTCTTGCATATTTTTTTTTTAAGTCAATTAGGTATATGTTGTTTTTACTGAAATCACTACAAAGCCTAGGAGTAGGAAGACATAAAAGGAAATACTTAGATTGATAACTAATTGCACTGATACAGTGTAATAAGCAAGCCAAACACAGAGACAGCTGTGTTTCTGTGTTTGAAACACATTTTAAGCACTATGCTTAAAATGCATATTAAGCATCTACAATGCATTCTACGGGACTCAGTCTGACCTCAAAATTGCAACTCGTAGCAGTCTACCTTTGGAGCAAGTGGTCTTAAAGTACAGTATGTGGTTATCTTTTATTTGAATGCTACAAAACCTAACTCCAGCGGTTTTAACGAGAATTACCACATCTAAACTTCTCTTAGTTTTTGGGATATGTTGAAATATACCATATTGTTTCTTAATCTCATACTTCACTGTGCAGTGGCATTGTCAGAAATGATTCGTGCAGAATGTTTGACTTTTCAGACATTGCTTTATTTCCTGATCAAAGTAGAAGATCCTCAAGCTTGTCCACTCTTTCACAAGCTTGCAAAAGTAACTAACTCTCTAACTGTAAAACATACTGTAATATATATGCTTTTCATCCCAACATACCATTTTCAGGCAAATTACAATCATTTTGAAAAGTTAATTTATTTTAGGACAGAAAGTGAAACCAGACATGTTTGCAACAGGCTGACATTTTTCTATTAAATTGCTTTTTTTCCATCATGAAAATTAAGAATAACAATGCTTGAACTACATCTCTCTGTGTGTAATGAACCCGTGTAACATAAATGTTTTACATTGTCAGTTGAATTAATGAATATATTAACTGTTCAATGATATTCTGATTATTAAAAAGGAACATTATATGGAGGAGCATCACACAAGAGAAACGCAGTCCATATGCACAACAGAACTTAATATTTCATAGAATGTGCTTCATTCATTCATATTTGGGTTCAGCTAAAGAATGTTTTGAGATACTCCAGCCTTTTGTACATAGCAAGACAAGCAAAGCTGTGACTGCTATAGTACCATAAAACAAAAAAAAAAAAAAAAAAAACTTTTGTTGGACATTTCTGAAGTGATCATTTATGTATAAATCCACTCTTTTAATCATATGTGGATGTGATTTTTTTTAAATATATTTTAAAGTCATAAATGTAATTTTTCACACCAGTTGTTTTTTTATGAGACCCCCCCTTCTCTCTATAAACACTTCAAGCTGGTTGTGTTTCAAACAGTCTGTCCGGTGCGCTGTGTAACATTAATAGCTCTGTACTAGACGGGCCTTGGTGTGTTCGTGCACACAGTATACCATTGCTATTTCCCTGGCGGAGTTTCACAAAGCTTTTTATTCTTGTCCCTCTTTTCTCTCCTCTTGCAACACCTCCCTGCATCACAGCTTTCAGACTCCTCCGCTCCTTGTTTCTCAGCTTTTTGATTGACATGCAGCAGCCTACTTCCTTCAACTGTGTCTTTTAAGCCCTGTGGTTCTCTGCACTCTCTTTGCTTTTCATGTTTCCATTTTTAGAATGGCTCAATGATGGATTTATCTACTGTCTCTCACTTTCTTCGCAAGTGAGAGATTTGTTTTAGTTCCCTCATATATGACTGTGAAAGCTCACAGCATATTTCCCAATAAGCACGCTGCACTTTAAATGCTTCATCAGGGCCTAAAGTCAAATCTGGTTTTACTTCAAATATAAGAAAAAACTTTAAAGAAAAAGCTTTCTCTCTTACTTTAACAAAACATTGGTGAAGTATGTATAATCATTTGGAAGAATTGTTTAACGTAAAACTATCAGGACAATAAAAAAGTGTTTTGGTAATGATTTCATTAGTTAAAACAACATAGAGGCAAGTATATTTATATGGAAACATCTTAAGTCTGCTAAGATAGTGGAACAAATACACAGGCAAAACTTATACACACTTTGCATAAATAGACACATAACCCTTTTCCTCACATTCTGACCTGAAAACAGAATAAATATTTTCTGTGACCCTTTTGTATTTCAAATAAACCTTAAAAAGGTAAAGTTTAGTCTAAGTGA